GTTCCGGTGCCAACTTGCCAGCACGACCGGTGTAGTCCACACCACTCTGAGGCACTCTAGAATCAGTCATTCCACCAGCAAGCGGGTCCGTTCGTATCGATAGCGGATCTGGTGACACTAGTGCTGGATCAATCGATGTGTCAGCCAATACCGCCTCCGCTTCGGCGGCGTGGACATCTACAGCGATCTCTCGCCAGCTAACTCTCGGCGACATCTACAGCGATCTCTCGCCAGCTAACTCTCGGCAGCATCCTCGGTAGTTGTGCTTTCCAGGAATGCTGTGGGTCACACGAAAATGGCCTCAGAGCGACCAGATTTACCCTAACCGCGGCCTTTTTGCACGCTTCCTGCGCTTTCTGCTTGTATTGTGCTGCGAAGTGTGCTGCCCAGCGCACCGTTGTGGTGATCAGTTTTTATGGTGCTGACGCAGACTTATTGTGCCATGGCCACACTGTATTGTGGCCGTAAGGCGTTCTCGTCGGCGGAGTGGATGAAGAAGAAGCAGAAGGGAGAGGCCCTGTGAACGTGCTGGTCGTGGTTCTGGAGCAAGAGCCGCTGGTCAGCCCTCCCCAAATTTTTAATCCGCCGTTTCGACCAATTGCAGATGGACTTAATGTGAAGATGCCTCACCTTTCACGCGACGCACTGGTGTTGAATCTGTACAGTGCGATAATCGAAACCAGCTTTGTGCTACTTTCATCGCCAGCGGGATCGGGGAAAACATCACTCTTGGCGATGTTCGCTCGTCAATATCCTGACTTTCGCTATGTACCTATCGCATTCGATAGTGCCGTAGAAGATGCCACTACCATTTTCCTCAACCATGGGGTTGATGTTCGTTGTATAAAGTGCTCAGTACCCGAAGACAAGCTGTGCGTCGTTATGATGGATGACTGTCAACGACAGTATAAAGATTTGGATTTTTGGGCTCGACTTATTTAGGGCTCAGCAAGCTGGTTGCCGACCCATGTTCGGTTCATCATATCCGCGACGCATTTGCTCGAGACAGATGCTCCTTCTAGCCGTGTTGCCTTTAACAGCATTTCATGGAAGCTGACAAGAGATGACTTCTTGATCAGTGGTGCGGAGGCGCATGAATTCTTCATCTTGGACAACGGATTGCCGGCAAGTTTGCGACAGCCCACATTTTTGGAGGTGATCATACGAGATTGCAACGGGCATATTGGTTCATTGCGCGTTTCCGTTAACACAATTTACACGCATTTTAAAGTTGCACGTCCAACCGAGCATGATTGAACGACGTTACCGCAACACAACGGCGACAAGACGACAGCTCTTACGGCAACACATCTGCCCCTTATGACACAAGGAACAACATAAAAATGTGTCAAAGCACATCTCGGTAAACTATTATCCGGGGTCTGATAGATTACCGTTATTGTCAAAGTTACCACTCCGCTCCTCCCCAAAATTTACATTATAAGTGCTCATTCAATTTGAAAAAAAGACTCGCAGTGACCAAGCCAACTTGGGCTTCATGAACGATTTAGCTAGCACCGACCGGACGCATTCAACTGGCGACGAGGTCCCCCGACGCAATCCCCGCCACAAGGAGCGGATGTGCAAGGAGCTGCTACGGTCTCGACTGCAGCAAATCGAGCTACTGGGGGAGAAGCTGAGCGACTTTCCGAGTTTTCGCTAAAGCTGATGGATCTCCATGAGGAGATTGCTGTTATACTCGCACGCGAAAAGCTTGATACAATGCGTCTAGCAGCTGCAACCGGGGCTTCTGCTCACGACGTCGGATACGTTGTATCGTATGCTATGGCGCTCGAGGAGTGCTGCAGTATTTTGCTGGATCAGGCTTTGTAAACGAATTACAAAAGCGATAAAGGAGGCATAAGGAGATTTACGTAGCAAAGTGAAGCCGACAAACGAATGCATATTCTATTTTAAACGCTGAAAACAGTTCCTGACCGGTCGCTTCTACCGCTTTCGCTCGCTTATTTGATTTCGTAGTCACCTCTGGTTGCATCAAAATTATCCACATGATACGCAGTCGCATGATGGCGACATCGTCTTGTGTGACGGTTGCGTTAGCAAAAGCGGTGCTATCCTTGAGTACTGCATATGTTTGGGCGATACACAACACCCCGCATGAAGATCTATCTGGCTGTGTTGGCGCATTAAGCCACACGCCATTTTCGACGACAGGAAAATCAGTAACTTGCATGGTCTCATGATGCCAGTTCCGTAAAAATTTAGCCATTGTGTCCTGGAAAATGGCTTCCATTGTTGCTAGAGATTCCGTCCCACACAAGGGTTCGTAATAGTACGGTGTGATGCTGGGCGTTTTTCCAGTCTAACAATGATGACGCCCCAGTGATTTCCGTTTAGGTGAACTGGCAACACCACATAATGGAATGACGATATTCGTGTCTTCGGAGGCCTTGGCCATCCCATCGTCGGAGCGAACGAACTCAGTGCGTAGCCGTCACCAAGCGCACCGCAGATGCAGCGAATAGTAAAGTCAATCACGAGGTCGTTTAACATTCGAGTC